ATTTGTTCTCAATTTCTTGGCAAGTGAGTTGCCTGAGTGTCATGCCCTCCATGCTGTCATTAGCCTGGGACAGTATATTACTTGTTTTGTAGAGAAAATGTAGACTAGAACTGATGCTACCCTTTGTTCATTGTCTTTCAGTTTCAGAAACCTGGTCTTGTGCATGCTGTCGTGGCTTATTGGGCCACTCGAATAGCGCAAAGTCATCGCTATTATTACTATTAGTAATATATATGCTTTTCTGTGACAAATCAAGATGTCTGCTGTTAAAAAAAAGCCTTTTGATTTGCAGGAAAAGCAAAAGTGTAAGTAATAACATTAATGATTGGTCATTCCTTTAACTGTCTGCAGGTCCCAGGTCCAGGAGCCTGCTGTTGAGCAGGATGGCTCACTGGCTTACTGAGGCACTCTAATGGAAAAGAACAGTCGATAATGCTATTACTTGTACTTTTCCTTCCACGACACGTCAAAATGTAAAAGATCTGTACCATATCACAAACTATGGTTTAGAAATAATCAACATCTCTCTCTCACAGTCTCAACAAAACGTTCGTACAGGAAGGCAGTATTTACAGCAGGTTTATTCTATTAGAGGGGTATTACTTCAGCTGTCCTACCTTTTCTAATCAGAGGATTTCATGGTCAACTCTGATAAATTAGGACACATTGATTTCCCTCTGTTTAATATCATCTTTTATCTTCTGAACCCGTTAGAATCGCTACATCACTCTATGATGTACCCTACCAAAAAAGATCATGATTTATTATACCATCAGTGATGTGGAGGCTTGTCAGTCACATAAACCTCTAACCTGCTGGTGCTGTGCCTGAAGAATCGGTTGCATTATTCACACAACCCCCTGGCAGACATTTTTGGGGCTGAACTGTTTGTTGTTTACACAGACGTGCGACGCAGATATCAAAAGAGCAGATATAGGATCAACTAACCGGACTCGGCTTCAACCAGCCACCTGCTAAATTGACACGGCAAATGTAACTTTGTGGAGCAGGTTGACATGGCCACCCATGGCAGTGATGCATCTGACACAATGTACAGCAGGGTCTCCAGGTATACGCAGAACAACAAACAACCCCCCCCTACTTACTGTTTGATTTGCTTGACAACAACAAAAACATGCACCTGGGGTTTATGGGCCGGCTTTCCAGATCATTTTGTTAATAGCTTATTCCACCAGGGGACAAGAAAACTGGAGCCTTTGAATTCTAACGAGAGACATCAAGGTTGTCATTTAAGGTAGCTTATGTTCAGTAAAATGGAAAATAACTACTACTGTTTATATTGACGCAAGCACTGTACTTAGGTACATTTTTGATGAAGGGAAAAAACATCATTGCTAGAACGCTACATGTGTATATATACGTATATACTGTATAGACGAAACCCATGAATGGGACCATTTATGCATAACGTACTTTTACTCAAGCAACAATTTGACTTTTGCTTTGTTGTGGTTTTGCTATTTTTACGTATTTTTATGTATGCATCTAAGTACTTCTTCACACTAGCAATTGTATTAAAAACACATTTAACAGATTTGCTGCTGACGTGCTAAATTGAATATTGAATACAAAATTAGAATTTTAAATCTCTGTACCAGATCTCAGAACTGTCAATAAAAAAACTCTGACAAAGATCATTTAAAATGCAAAGAGCTCCAGTGGTTTGAGATGCGCACCTTTGCTCAGCGCAGGGACCTTTTTAGGCACTCTAAAAGGACGGGGAAAAGAACGACACAAACAAAGAAAAAAAACTTGAGAATTCAACTCATTTTTTACTGTATGAAAGTTTCACAAGGTCGTTTGGAGAGTTGTGTTAACACAATACCTGAATACAGATTTGTTTCCTTGTTCTACAAGTCACGGAGCCCCGAGTCTTTAAGCGATCATTATTACCATACAAATAGACAGATCTATTTAACAACCCCTTTTTTTATCGCATAACACTTATTCTTTAGTGTTGCTCTCTGAAAGGCACAGAAATGCGTCTCCCCCTCCTTTTTGCAGGGGAATCGTCTTTGGGTTGATAAAGGCTCAGAGCAATAGAAGAAGCAAGGCTGACATCTTCTTAAGAGATGATAGGGGAGCCAAATCAAATAGGATGGAGCAGTCACTCTTTTCACAGATAGGTAGCTCATTTCTGGTGGCTGAGAGTTTGCATCCCTAGTGGCGCTCTGCCTGGGAAAGATAGCTCACTCGGACTCTATTCATTATTTCATTCCCTGCCTCCTCTTTTCACGTTTGCTACTTCTTTCTTTTTTTGCTTTAATGAGTTGCCTTTTTTTTTCTCAAGTGTTGATGGGGATCTTGGAATTTAGATTTGGAGACAAAATGTTTAATCACAAGCGTTTTTTTCATTTGTGGAGAAGAGGCGAAAATCAATTATTTCCATTAGACAATGCTGATTGGAAATGAATGGAAGTGGTAGCATTTTGAAACAAAGACTCCATGGTGGCAAAGATAAGTGTCAGTCCTGCCCCCCCTGAGGTACAATATGTGGTTTGGCTTTATAAGCAGTTTGCAAACATTGCCATTAAATCCATGCAAAGGGTTTACCATGCCAATACAAACACAGTCAAAAGAGAGCCAATGTCACACTAAATCATGCAAAGCTAAGATGTTTTGTACCTGTCCTGGTATGTCTGGATGCCCTTTTATCAAATGTGATCATTTAAACTTGAAAAACGTTTACGTTTTGACGCATGTCATCAGTTGTGGAGGTTTCCTCTGCAATATATAACTCCCGAGTAAGTTGCAGGAACTTTTCCAGGACACTATTTACAGCCGGACTTAATCAATCAAGCAAAAGCTCAATATGATATTCAGCCTGGCACTTCCTGAAGAGCACTTTGCTATGATATCCCTCACATTCTTTGCAAATCCCTTTGAAAATTATTTCTAAAAATTAACTTCTCTTGCAGAGGGCTCATTGAAAAGAAGAATTACATGAAAGATAAAACACTTTATCGCCAGTGAAAGATGAGACAATGTACGTCGAGAAATTGGGAAGATGGCAGAAACAATGAATATTAAGTGCCTAAGAATCTAAAGCTGCTGACTAAATTGAAACTGTATATCCTGAGGGGGCAAGGTTTCCAAATTGCTAATTACTGCCTCTGAAAGGGGGATGTTTCTGATATGTTTGCTTGTGAAAGGCTGGTGCTTAATGAAGCAGTGGCTCAAGTTTTTTTCTTCATATATTCCCATTCTCCAGCTTTCAGGGCTCTCTCTGGACTTTCCTCCCAGGCCAGAACAATGGTGGGCCCAGGAGCCCAGCTTCCCCACAGGCCCCAGCGAGAGGAGGCCGGGGGCTGGGTACTGAGGGAGCCGCTCAGCTTTCCGAAATATGGAGGCGACAGATAAGGTGGCAGCGGCACAGAGAGGCCCTCTCCCATGGGCCCAAGGGGAAATTTGCAGTTATTAAGAGGAAGATGAGAGAGATTAAATGGCTTTTGTACTCATTTTCACAGACTTTTATTTTTTTATTATTTGGGCTGCCTTCATCTGAGAGATGAAAGAAGTGGTAAATGACTTTTCTTTATTTTTGCTTCATTCAGCAACACGCTGGCTTTGAGAGACAATTCGTCATTACTGAGAGTTGTCACAAGTCATAAAACACTTATTGGTGCACTATTGTATTAAATGGTGCAGAAGTAATAGAATAACTGTAATCTACAACTAATCACAAACGTAACATGTTTTGGGATTTTGTTTGAAGAAATTAACAGAATATTACATACATGTAGGTTTATTAAGATGATGTTAAAACCTAATCTGATTTCCATTGAAATCCTGTCATTAAAGGTTTGACTCAACTATATGGCAATTTCTGAGGTAAGTGCTTAATGGACTGTAGCATTAAGTAGGGGGGGGGGGGGGGGGGGGGGGGGG